AATACCAGTAGCAGCCATCTACAGACTTCTTTGTAGTTCCTTTTGGGTGGCACCAGAGCCAGTGCACCTGGTGGACAGCTTCAGACCATACCAGATTACAACTCTACCCATACATAAGCGACACACTCAAGCAGCATACTCAGTGAGCACTAAAGCCCCAATGAAGCAAATTCAATTCCATAGGGGTGTCTCCTGCACAGCTTCTTTTCCACTGTAGTCATAGCTGGTCCTCACAGCCAGTTGGCTTAGAGGTCAATTCCTCCTTGCTACACCAACTGCAATAATGGGTCAACTATAAGAGTGTGCACACAGTCCACACAGGGGCACACCAAGAGTGCTCAATTCAGGTGACTGCTGAGGCTGAGCCACTGGGCCCCACAGGACACCTACTACACAAGGCCACTCTACAAACTCCAAGAGACATAGCAGCTCTACCTAATAACATAAAAATAAACACAGGGAAGCAGCAAAAATGTGGAGACAAAGAAACATGTCAAAAATGAAAAAAATGGAAGCAAGCAAACTACTGAATACAGAGTTCAAAACCATGGTTATAAGGTTAATCAAGGACTTAGGGTTGCAGCTGGTCAGAGATGGCCTAGCTGGGAGAGAGGCAGTAGAACAAATACCCTGACCTTGCTTTTCTACCCAGAAGAGATCTCCTGCTTGCACTTCCCATTGGCAGAAGCCAAGCTGAACTCAGAGAGCCAGAGTTCCCACTTATGTTGTTAGAGAGTCTTTAAGATCTGGGCCATTCTTACTCAACTAGAAGCCCTGGTGCACAAAAATTTGTGCACTTGGTGGGGAGGGGGTCCTGCAACCTGGCCTGTGCCCACTCACAGTCCAAGACCCCTTGGGGGATGTCCACCTGTCAACTTAGGCCCACTCCCCGGGGGATCAGGCCTAAACTTGCAGCCAGACATCCTTCCGGCAGCCAGGGAGCCCTCGGGGGATGTCCAACTAAAGGCTTAGGCTCCCAAGGGATCAGGTCTAAACCTTTAGTTGGACATTCTTAGTGCTGCCATGGAGGTGGGAGAGGCTCCTGCCACCACCTCTGTGCTGGCCAGCCATGAGCCAGCTTCTGGCTGAGTGGCACTCCCCATATGGTAGTGCACTGACCACCAGGGAGCAGCTCCTGCATTGAGCGTCTGCCCCCTGGTGGCCAGTGCGCATCATAGCAACCGGCCATTCTACTGTTCAGTCAATGTGTATATTATTAGCCTTTTATTATTATTATTATATAGGATGTCCCTATTTCCCCCCCTTTGCTCCCTCTACCTAGCTCTTGCCCCCCACTTCTCTCTGGCCATCACCATCCTGTTGTCTGTGTGCATGGGTTGTGCATATATTTTCTTTGGGGCTGGGCTGCCTCGCCGCCCGAGGTCTTAAGAGCATTTTTTTTTTTTTACAAATGAACACAGTGAGGAGTCATGCACACCTTTTTTTGTTTGTTTGTTTTTAAACTTTTTAACATGAGGCACAAAAAAAGATTCTCTTTGTGTGTGCTATTTTACAGTTACAAGCTGAGGTAGTCACGAACCCCACCACCTGGGACAGAGGAAGGGGAGGCTGCAAAATGGCCTCGTCTGAGCTCAGGTGGATGCCTGCTCTGGGGGCTTCCCTGGATGTTCCCGGTGCCTACGGCCTGAAAGCAGGCTGAGCCCTCGAGGGAACCGTCTGCCCCAAGCCTTCCGTCTTTTCAGGGCTAAAGTCTCACTCTTCCTATCGACCAAGTGTAGCAGCTGCTAAAAATCTAAGGGGTGACCCCAGAACCGAATCTCCTCTGTGCCATGAACGTGAGGCCTGGCTGCCCAGGGAATGGGCATGACTTTAACAGCCAAGATGAGGGCAAGGGAATAAACTATGTGCAACTACAACATCTGAAGTAATATTTACATTTGAAAACCTGGGCCTGGAAGCTCGGAACGGCTTCACAGCTGGGCGACCTGCCCCTTTCCTTCACTTGCCTGAAGTCGCACTCCTCTACCTCGAGCTCCTCTCCTGACCCTTGCATCCTGAGGCGAACACCAGGCCTCAGCACCGGTCTCTCCGGACATAGTGCCACCCGCTCTGAGCCACGCCCCCGCCTCTCCATACGTGAGACCACCCCACTCTGAGCAATGCCTCTGCCTCTCCGTACACAAACATGGTGCCACCTTGTGCTTAGCCACGTCCCCTGCCTTTCCATACAGAAAATGGCACCTCCCACCTTGGGCTTAAGCCTCCAACTGAAGAGCTGCTTCCCGCTTGCTGATGTGGGGAGGACAGTCCCAGCCTCTGGGGCTCCTTCTGGAGCCTGGCTGCTTCACCCCCCGGGGACCAGATCACGTCCCCAGGTGACGACGCTCCCGGCCCATGGCCTGGCTTCTCCAATTACTGGCCGGGGAAGGCAAAGGCAGCCTGGTTCTCCAATCATGGCCCTGCCACCTGGCTCTTGGCTGTCACCTGGGTTTCCGATCACCTTCAGCCGCAGGCGGCTTCTTCTATCCTTCCTCTTTCGTCTCCCAGCATTGCGCCTATGTATGCAAATTAACCTCCATCTTTGTTGGTGGTTAATTTGCATATCACCCTGATTAGCCAATGGGAAGCGTAGCGAAGGTACGGTCAATTACCATGTTTGTATATTATTAGTGTAGATGCTGTTATTGCTAAATGTTCAAATATACCAGTCCAGCTATAAACAGGATGATCTTGACAAGAACTCAGCAGTATAACTGTAGCCAACTGCAAAGAATAAACCAAGATGTAATTGATCAAATAGTGTAAGCTATGGCCAAGCCCCCCTTTGAGGCATTAGATCTTTTTATATGAATCCCATGTTTCCTTAATTTGCTACAAGTAAATAAAACTGCCTTCGGACAACCATGTCTCCTTCTTGAATACAACACCCCAAGTGGAGAATCTTTGGGTTGGGTAACAATGTGATCCACATAGGTCAGCCTCCTGGGCAAAGAGCTAGGGTAAAGAAGGGCAGAGGATGGATCTTCAGAGGCAAAGGAAAAACATTTGGCAGAGAAGAGATTTTCAAGTTAATGTTTTAATAGATATTCCAAGTAAGGTACCTTAAAAAGAAAAGCAAGAGGGAAACAGTAAGAAAAGTTCATAACTCCCAGATGTCCATGTGTTACTGGACAGGGACCAGCCCAAAGTGGATCTTCTCAGTCTGGCCTCTAGTGGGTGGGGTCTTTCTTAAAAAAATTAATCTTTATTGTTGAGAGGATTACAGATGTCCTCTTTTCTACCCTATAGTGTGTGGGTTCTTGATTTGATGCAGGAAAGATTTCAAAACAGAAGTCCAGGCGATTTTGTGAGTATGTTTATTAAATCTGGGGACAGTGAAATAAAGGAAGGGATTAAGGTAGAAGAAGCCAAGCAGACCGCCTAGGTGGGGCTGCTTTGGCTCTAGAAATGTTATAGAAAAGAATTGAGCCAAGACAGGGCTGTTTCAGCTCCCTGGGAAGTCAAGGACAAGGGAGATAGGATCATGGGCTGAGCCCGGGTCCAGCTGTCACTGCCACTGCTCTGCTGGCTGCAGTCTCTCCTGGGGACCTTTAGCATTTAGGAAGAAATAAAAAGTTCATGTGTGGAAAACGGTATGGGCCTGCTCTAAAGCAATGAGTTTTTATCCTGAGGGCTTTCTATCCCTTGTTTTTGTTTTTGTTTTCAGCTTTCCAGGTGCATTTTTAATATGCTGATGCATTAAAATGAGTGTATGGGGGAGTTTGGAATTATTCTTTGATCAGTTTTACTTTTATCTTAGGTCTGTCTGGCTTTAATGGGTTTTTGTTATTTGTTCCCTGACTTCTTCTACATTGGGTTTAGCTGGCACAAATGGCCTTAATTGGGTCTTTGTGCTCTACTTCCCAGACCAGGGTGATGTAAGCTATGTATCTTCTGATTAGAGAGGAGAATATAAACCATTTGCTCTCAAGTGTCCTTGGTTGGTGAAGATAAAGTTTTATGATTCACAAGGTGGCTGCAAGACACCCAAATAGACTGACCTTGTTTAATTTTCTTGTCTCAGTTTCCCCACTTGCCCAGGAAATTTCCTAGATTCTTATTATCCTGCCTCATGTGGACAATAGAACCATCTTTCTGGAGAAGCCTGCTGCTTCACTAAAAAGGAACTCAGAGAAGTGGACGAAAATAATGTGCATCACCAGTGGTGCTAACACTGATATATGAAGGATTTCTCATTTGAATTGTCCTAAATTGAGCCTGTGAAATCTCCATAATATATTATTTTATGATTATGCCATTTTCTATCTTCTTCAGCTTGTTTGCATT